AAACCTGCGCCCGATTGCGCCCGCTTGGCGTTTTAGGGGAAATTGGACACTGAACTGTGGAACCTCCTGCAACGAAGTTTCTCCGAGTGGCTTTCACCCTGGTAAACACCAAATTCCAAGTACAACTCTGCCTGTGCGGGACGGGGACGGGTTCACTATGATGGGAAGTGCATAGTGAATGGCCCAAACACGAGCCCTGTCAGTGCAACAATGTGTTCAACGATGCACCGCCTCCATTGGTATCTGTCTCTCTACCAAACTATGGGAAATGTCATTCAGAAACCTGAAAAAGAAAACCATAGTGACAAATCACCAATTTCACCTAAGAACATCGACTCCATTCGCTTCATTCGCGAACAGCTCGCGCGAACAGCTCGACGACGCGCAAGCGCCTCCTGAGTCCGGTGACGCGCGGAAATCTGCAGCTCATGCATCACCAGCTTCAGCATGTAGGGATCGATGCCCGAACTCCAAGGCATCTGAAGAGTGGGCGATCTCCTCGACTGTGGCGACTGTGGCTCATGAGGCAGAAGATGCCACGCCCGACCGAACATGAAGCGAATAGACTACCAGGGAGGTCTCAAAGCAGTAATTGACTGCATGGCAAATCCCCTAAGCATCCGAACCCTGCAATACCATGCATGCTTGCTCGATGTGGAGATCAAGAGGCTCTATGAGGTTCCTAGGGTCCTAGGGCCCTTCCTTCGGCTCAGCTCTGGCTCACTGGTGGCGATCAGCCCTGATCCTTGTCTTTGGATGTCTTTCAACGTGTCTATCTTCCAAGCGAGGATCCTCAAAGCATCGCCCAGTTCGGCCCAAAAGGCCTCACGCGCGGCTCCAGGACCAGCGGAGGGGTCCGGAGAACGGCCCGCCGATGCTCCGCGTTCCGAACGCGGAGCATCGGAGTTCGGTTGGACCGAGCGTCCCCGGCACCACTCGACCAGAATTGGATGTGGGGAGGTCGGTGCGAAGGGCGCGATGGGGATGTGGGGGCCTAGCGGCCTACATCCAAACTGAAGCAGCACTCCCACGAGCTCTGGGTCTGCAAGAGAGCTGTCTCGAAGAATGGTCAGCATGGTCACATCCGAAAACCTCAATGAAAAGCACATGCCTGAGATTTTGGAAGGGGCTGAGGCGCGGACACAGAAATCCAGCCGTTCATGCGGCTGTGGGTCAGACTTTTCGATGGACCAGCTGTCAACTGGAAAAGGAACGGAATGGTTTGCATTTGACTCATAGCCTACGTCGCCATCAACCACATCCCTTTTCCATGAGGTTCTCGGAAGAGGAATCCTCAGCATGAGTCTGACTTGTTGAATGACATTGGCCTAACAGTGACCTGTTGGGTTTGGGTGCCCTTTCCGAGGTTCCTTATACCTCCACGACAACAAAACATCGCAAAATCCAGGGACTTTGCTCATGTAGTAACAGGTGCCACGCTACTAGGAACAGGTGCCTTACTAGTAGTAACAAGAAGCTATTAGGAACAAGTGCATCGCTACTAGTAACAAGTGCCTTACTAGTAGTAACAAAAAGCTATCAGACATTTTAACTTAATTCCAATAGCTTTTTGTTACTAGTAGTAAGGCACTTGTTACTACTAGCGAGGCACTTGTTACTAGTAGTAACAAGAAGAAATTAGACTTACATTTAATTATGTAGTAAGGCGGTGTGCCATCGAGACGCAGTGACCACATCGGATTGAAACCATTGGCCGCACAGAACCCCCCTGGCAGCCAGCCCAGTCGAATTCCTCCCCCCCGCAATTCCCTAACACTTGGCACCCTGTACATGAACAACCACCAAACAACTTTGTTAGAAAGGCCTCGTGGGAAACTGCTCAGGCTTTGGGCTCTTCATAAACTCCGTTTCGCCTTTTGAACCTCAGATATGTTCTTTTCAACATTCAATAGGTTTGGATATGTTTGGTATGGTTATATAGGTTTGGATAGGTGTGGTTTAATAGCTAGCCTTTGGTTTGGCTCTTTTCATCTCAATTCCAAAGGCTAGCGGCTCGCGCCTCAAAACTCTGCTCCTTCGTCTCCAGCCAAGACCAGCCAGGAGAGCTTGAACCGTGCTCGCAACCCAGGAGCTGTGCAAGACTAGCCTCAGAGTTCGTGGCAAAACGTGATCAAAACGTCAGACCTGAACAGAGGTACTACATCCACTCACTTAAGTGACCACCTGCTTAGCAGGTGGGCACACTCCGGCGCCTGTCTCCACTTCAGCGCCAGCAACGCAATCTGTGCCATCTCCTCCAGCCCGAGCAGCTTCGACAGCTGGGAGCACAAGCGCCCCGTGAGCTCCGCGAGCTCGACCGGTGCGGAACGTGTGGCGGCATTCGCCCAGGTGTGCCAGGAGACAGTCAAGGCCAGTGCTTTGGCCCAGTGGGAAGTGCTTGGTGGTCTTGAAAGAGCACGGAGGCCGTAAGGGAAGCCATCCTGAGAGAGTTTTTTCTTTGCAGGTGGGAGGGGCATGTTGAAATTCATGTCAGGAGCTGGTCCAAACCAACCTTCCTCCAGAAAGGGACAGGCTGGAGCTGATTACTGAGCTGATTATATCGGACCAAAAGTCTGAATATTCATGGGTCAACTCAAGGACTGGAGATTCTTGAGGACTGGAATGCCAGAATGCCTCAGGCTTCCAAGACCATACCAAAAATTGTCCTCATGGACCACCTGGTGACGATCAAAATTGACCAAACATAAACACTGACAGACACTTTGATCAGTCTTGCTGTCAGTCTGTTGAATCCTGCAATCGCCCAAACACCGTTTCCAAATTTGCAAAAGAAGGATCCGTTCCATTCCAGATTCTCATGGCATAGGCCATCTCGAGGCTGATGAAAGGCAAAGGACATCCTTGAAATGGCTCGAACAAGTTGGCCCAACCCACCACGCCTGGACAGCGAGGGCCAGTTTTGATCAATGTTGATCATCGTACATCTGGACCGTCGCTCCCACAGGCGCTGGGCCGGGGGGGCTGCAAAAGCTATAGAAAAGACCACCCCGAGAAAAAGAACACCCTGAAAGGAACACAAGTAAGCAAGCATGGGTTCTACAACCAAACCTGGTCCTTGTTCTATGGTCATCCACTCATGCAATGGTCAATGGTAAGCTTCGTCCGTTCATCATGAACTCCACGGACATCTCTGCTTGTCTCATGGCTTCTTTTGTTCTAGGGCTTACGGGTTCCTCAGCGGAACCACCCGGACTGGCCCACCTGCACCCACTCGGAAGCCGAAAGCTTGCAGGTAGGCATCCACCCCTTGGCTGGTTGTATGCCATTCCAACCCCCTGAGAGGAAGAGGAACAGAATGAACCTGCCACGAACCTTGGCAGTAAGCACCCCCAAAAAAATCAAAAGAGATACATAGAAGAGTGATGAAGAGTGATACCTCCCTCGGGCATCTTCAGGCATGCACTATAAAGACTCTTGGATAACCTCTTCATCTTCGTGACTCTATACGCAAATACCGTGCAATTCCTCTTCAATGGACCACTTAGGAATCCACAAGTTCACGCTGTTCTCATGTCCCAAGCCAAGACTTCAATGCGAAAGGGCTGGCCATTGGCTTGGACGAAACTATTGCTTCACTACAGGTCCATGCGCTTCTGCCATTTGGTGAAATCTTGGAGCTGCGGGATCCGAAAGAGAAAAGCAAGATCAAGCAAGCTTCGCTCGATGTTCTCCAGAAGCCTCCCACCCAAAGAAGACCCGGAAGATCCTGTTGAAGGATCCAAGAAGACCTGGAATTGCAGCTTGTATAAACATCTGGGCAAATATATATGAAAACAATATAAAACACAATCTTCACCATACATTTCTGTGAAGGAAAACCAAACCTTGGCACCTGATCTGAGACACCGAGAGACCCCATTGAGATAGGTGTTGACTTCAGCAAAGCCCGGTTCCCGGCCGCAATAGAAATCTTCCACCGCTGCATCAGTGGGATAGAGGGTCAGGGCCAAAGCCAGTGCGCGTCCGTGAGGGAAGGAGCGCATGAGAGCCAAATCTTGCGGGAGAAATGTTCGACGGTGATGTAAGCCAGCTTGTTTCACGCGGAGCCTTGTGAGGTTAATGAACGTTTGGGTCCTTCAGACACTCCAAACGTCACCTTTTTGTCCCGACCCATCACCGGCTCTCGTCCGCTCCCCGCGTTTCACGGCCTCCTGCTTCTCACGTTCGATGCGCTCCTTGTTGAGCAGTGCAGCTTGCAGCTGGAGGTTCCTGAGTCTCGTGGAGTCGACTGGTCGACCAAAGCTGCGGTCCAAAGGTTGGTGGTCCAAGGAGGAATATACCAGCTTTTTGTGTGCATGGCCGTGACTATCCGTGACTAGTGGTCCAAGGAGCTGATCTTCAAACTTCTCTTCATACTCCTCCTGCAGTGCTGCCAGCTTGCTCGCGGCCACGCTACCTGATGTTCACACCGTGCGAGGCCGGGTCTTCTTGAGGGGATGGCAGCTGTGTTTTTCATTCGTGGTGGTGACTTCAATGGTGGGTGCCCTTGAGGACCTCCAGCCTGTGTGACGTGACCAAGGGAGAGTTATAGTATTCGACCATCTTGAAGTCTCAAACTCCCTCCCCTTCATGTCCGACGGAAAAAACCTCCCAAGTCCAATGTGCGAGCTGATTTTTCAGCTAAAAGCGCAGGTCCGTGCACGTCGTCCTTTGAGGTCGCAGCTCCCTATGTGGCGCTGGACTCACTGTTGGAGCCCCTGTGCACGATAAACGCAGGTGAGTGGGGAAGAAACGTTGCTTTCCACATCTCTTCACCATCTCCTTCCCATGGCCTCTCCATGGCTGAAGAGACAGCCGTAGCGGAAACATTTTAAATTTGCTGGGGGCACTTTGGCATTGGTTTCCAAGGATGGTTCTGGACCACTTGTTCTGACTTTGGGCTTCCCAGAATTGAAGTTTTAGCAACTTTCCATAACTTTCCCATGGCTCAAATCCATGCTTGGCTCGCACTTGCGAGAATTGCACGGTCAGAACCGATTTCAAGCGCGGGCAGTCAAAAGAGGAAGCGCGAGGCCGTCCTGCGCTCGATTGATCAGCATGGACTAGCTGACTAGCGAGCCCCAGAGTGCTGTAAGGAAACTGTAGAGGAAAACGGTTTTGACCTCGAAACAAACAGGTTTTGTGAGAGGATTTGTTCGAGATTGGTAAGCAAATGACGAGTCAAAACGCTGTGTTGCCTCCTTGTTTCAAGCGCTGTGAGTCCTACCTGCGCCACTAGCCCCTGGGCTGCACCTGATTTCCGGAAGGTGCTTGATAAACTGATGTAACTCGAAAACCATGGACCTTGAAGCCGGTTGGGTTTCTCCGCGAGTCTTTCCCGGTTTCCCCATTTCACACACCAGTCTTTCTGGGTCCCATCTGGTCCTCCTCCTCTGCCAGCTCATCCTCTGCTTCCAACCACCAGTCCTCAGGATCCATCGTGGCCCAAGACTCCACCGTCGCCGTCTCCGCCCGATGTCGCGCTCGACCGAAGCCGATGCGCTGCTGCTCGGCATCGTAGACGGTGTAGAACTTCTGGAGCACCTCAGGTCCCACCGAGTTTCGTTTTCGCGTTTCGCGCCGATGGGTCACCGGTGCAAGCTGCTTGACGTCTGTCCCGCTCTGCATATGGATGGACCTTGACCAAATACCAAACTCATCGACTCTGGAACAGGACGACTTTGCCTTGTTTGAAAAAAATTGACCAGAAAACTCTGCAGTTCTGGGAAGTTCCAGGACTTGGAGCAATTCTGTTTCAGAACCATGCCAACCTGACTATCTGATGCCAAAGAGTCAGAAAGGACCAGAAAAACAAGGCACTCTAGCAAGCCTAACGCAAGGAATGCAACCCTGCTCTAGTGGGGTTTGCCGAACCAGGTCGATCAAACAATGCGAAACACAAGGCACGGGCTCGCCAAGGATGAAGAGCTTGGGCCCAAAAAGCTTGGGCAAGTCCATCACCATAAGCATAGGCTTGCACGTGCCGCGAGCGAATTCCAGTGCGCTCTGCGGATTCCAAGTAGGTCTGGGCTTGCGACGCGGCGTCTCATCCAAGCGGCTGAAGTCTTCTCCTTGGACGTCCGTGTTGGCACTGGCCAGTCGACACTGAGATCGATGACATGGGTTGCGCGGTGTAGCAAGCCCAACTCGGAAGGGAAGCAAAACTGGCGCCCAGCAACTTCATGGCATGGCCCAAAATAAAAGCCCCAAGCTCAAATGTGAGCAGTTTTTTTCCCCACCTGTCAGGTGAGGGTTGTTAGAATTTATGTCAGCCCCAACTCCTTCCTTTCTCCTTCTTCTCCTCCTGGTCCTCCTCCGCCGGACCTCAACCACGACCATCCGCGCCCAGTGTCCCCTGCCGGACCCCAGCCACAACCATCCGCGCCCAGTGTTCCCTGCCGGACCTCAACCACGATCATCC